GAATTAACCTCCCATCACGCCTATCGTCACCGTCTCGTCCAACACTGGCTGATCTCATTGCTCGTTCGATCTTCATGACAAATACTTCCATAGTTTCTCGAAAGTTAGCCCGATCCTTGGTGTCAATCAGGTTGTCTCGCCGCTTGGCAGCCAGACCCTCAGCCGCAGCTCTGGTTGAGCGTTCTGTTTTACCCAAAGAGTGCGTGCCTGGTATGACGTCAGTGCATGTGGCACCAGCAATTGTTGCCAAGAAGAAGGCAATTGAGAAAGAGAGAGTTAAGGACGGGTTGCGACAGTGGATCGCATCAAGATGGAAGCGTGAAGTCAGAGAGCGCCAAGATAGCGTAAGAAGATGGGAGGAGAGCCGCGGCATAGGACGCGTGTGGCGCCTCCGTAGGTTTTGGGAAAGAGTTAGTCGCGGCGAGGAGCGAGACAGTGCTTGGTAAGTCAGTGATATCAACTTCTATGAGGTGAATCGTTGTAAGGCTGCGTGTGCAATCATACATGAAGGACCACTATAGTTCGGTTCTGTATTGGTCACAGTTCTGGCAGGGAGACGTCAGCGGTAGTAGTGACTTTCGTCCTGTCGGCAGGATTACTTGTATGATACATTATGTACGATGTGGTGATGTTACAAAATCGACGAACTCCGTTATCAGTACTGGGCCATGTGGGCGATCGGCGAGCCCTCATGAGTGGTATCTTTCTATCATGCAGGGTTATGCACAAAGTCCCTTTGCTCAGGCAGTGCGAAACCTGAAACCATCCCAATCATCATCTTCTTCGTCGTTGTCCTCATCGTCATCCTCAACCTTCTCTTCAATAGCTGGCGTGTCCAGATTCTCTTTACCCAAGCCTGTAGGTTTTTCAGTGCCATTTTGTTGGCTGAAGCTTTCACCACGTTTCCGCAGGGCTTCCCTCTTGTCCTTTAACCGCTTCACGCGAGCTTCGAGCTCTTCCATTTCTTCAAACTCCTCTTCAAGCGCACGGGTTGCTTCCTCCTTTTCGTCTTCGAGATCGACATCAGCTTGAGCGCGTCGCTTCTCGGCCTCCTCCTCCTTCTGGGCATCGGCGGCGGCAGCTTCCTCTGCCGTCATGGCTGGGGCTGATATAGTCGCGTCTTCATCGTATGTGGCTGTTGTAGCAGCAATGTCGGCCTCGAAGGCTGCCCATTCTGCTTCATCAACCGTTATTGCTGCGGCAGATGTAAGGCGCTCGCCTGTAGTCAGACTACTGGCTTGGCGTGAGGGGAGCGATGCAGTTGCAGATTGTGAGGCCAGGTTATTAAGCTGACCTCCAGGGGTAGAAGCGGAAGAGCCATCTCGATGGGCTGGTGTTGCTGGTCTCGATGGGATTTGGATCTCAACCCCTTGTGACGGTGTAGCCGACGTCCTCCTAGTCAATCGAGGTGGTGTCAAAGTCTGATCCTTGTTATCTCCATCTCCATCTCCATCTCTATCCACTCCATTGGCCTTATTTCGTTTCCGCCTGCCATCGTCCATTTCGACATCTCCGTCTTTATCGTCGATAGCCTCCTCGTTATCGTCGTGTTTCCGTTTTTGCGAAGTCTGTTGTTGTGGAGCTCGAGCGTTGGACGATGTCGCTGTTTGAGCTTTTATTAAACGAGTTTTGTGCGCTTCTCCTCGGACATGTGAGTCCCATAACGATTCGGTCTTGATGTGCTCGTGGCAGAGGGTGCATAGAAGTTTGCCCGCATCAGAATAGGCGGCATATGGGTGTTCGATACGGCGAGCGGCGCGCTGTTGCCGCAAAAGAGAGCGTACGTCGGACATGGAAGTAGATGAAGATGAAGAGCTGTGATTCGTGACGTAGAAGGAGTGTGGTAGCTGAAGAATACCACAGGTAGATAGAGCAAGGTGTAGAAGTATATGAGCTGGTTATAATTCGCGATTCCAATTGGGCTCAGGAGATCAAGAGAAGCTGCCTCATAAGAAAGAGGACTAGAGAGAAAAGACGAAGGTCGGAAAAGAAAAGAAAGAAATTCGTAGTGCTATGACGTTGGATGGTAGAGATTCAAGGGCGTCAAAGGGTAGCAAAGAGGTGTGAGGTGAGTAACCGCCGACGATTAACCGGCGCAAACCGATCTTCACCTGATTTCAGTGAGAGGAAGTCTACCTTTATCTAATCTTGTCATTGACTGTTGGCGGTATCATCTTCGACGGTCACACGGCACGACACGGCACAACCCTAAGTGATATTTACCTTCTCAAATCCATTGAGACTTGCTGCATTAATACATACCTACATAGGTAGCCAAGTTCCCAAAAGCTTTGACCGCAGTTGCATCTACGTGGATTCCAACCATCCCACCAGAGTCTCACCCCCCCCACCAGGAAACGTCCACTTCAAGGGACCGCATACCATCCTTGTCTTGCTCTGTCTTTTGAGTCGCCTTCTTGACGCGGCGTCTTATTTTCTACTCATACAATTGCCTACGATATTGCTTTATTAGGGGATCCTTCTTCAAGAGCTGAACGATGGCCGAACAACAGCAAGAGGGCCATTCGCTCTCATCCATGTTCCCCAATCCGCCACCCTTTTGGCAAGACTTTACAACAGATAAGATTTCTCGGATTCAAGAACTAAGGACTTCATACATCGCGGAGCATGGTGGCGATCCTTTGACAGTCCGCGTGCCTGGTATTCCCGAAGATCTCGTCAATCTGCAACCTCCGGCTGAGCCAGCCGATGGACGCTGGCGTGTATTTGGCGATCAGTACATGGTAGGTTAGGCGATCGCGATTATTCTTACAAGATGGCTGGCTAAGTGAGGATGTAGCTGGACGACAAGCTTCCAACTCTCGAAGACCAAGGGATTACCAATCTTCCCTCATCATCACAGCCCGAGTCCAAGGATGCTAAGCGCTTTGATCGGGCCTTTGAGCTCAAACGGCTTGCTAAATCGCTTCTATTAAACTTTCTCGAGCTCTCTGGGACATTATCGCATAATCCATCGCACGCCGAAGCAAAAGTGCAAGACTTGCGCACACTCTTCATCAACTTTCACCACATCCTCAACGAGTACCGGCCACATCAAGCACGCGAATCAGTCATTGCGCTCATGCAAGAGCACCTAGACCGCACACGGGCTGAGACCATGGCCATACGGATACAGGTGGACAAGGCACGCCGCGTACTCGATGGCTTGGGCAGCCTAAGCGTACCCGATGTGCCCAAGGCTTTAGGACAGAACACCGAGGAGGAAGATTTGGATGCGTTGGCGAAACAAAGAGAAGCAGACGTGTGGGCTGCCACAGATGCCTTATTTACTTGAGGGGGGGGTATTGGAACAAGCATCAGATATTGCCCAAAACGTCACATTATTATCAATGGAGTTGCAAAGATCAACTTTCCGACAAACGAGACAGCCTTCCCACGTTGGGCAGCCATTTCTCTCATCATGTTCTCAGAAATTAGTCCCGAAGGATGATCGCAACTAGAGTTTTGGAGCGAGGCGAATCTCATCGCAAAACCTTATATAATGGACATTTGGAGAGTTTACAAGAAGCAGGATTAACATCAAGATCGAGATGTTTGCGATATGAAGCGAACCTCAACATATATGCGCATACAAGTGCACATGCATCAAGCCAACTTCGGGTTATTAAAAGGCCGTCATAAACTTCGTCTGAGTCGTCGATTCAATATACACTCTTCGGCTGCGCTATGTTTCCCAGCAGCATCGCAACGCAACGCACAAGGGACTATAAAAGCTCAGTTCTCAAATGATAAACCCCCAACATTGCTGCCTCGCAACGCACATCGTTGTTCGAACCCCCTTTACAGGATGGTGCAGGGGATACAGCAGCATTCGTAGTCACCACACTCGATACACTTGGTTTTGGTGCCCGTGGCCTCGGAGGGCTTGATGATGGACTCGGCGATCGAAGTGGCAGCGCTGCCGGGACCGTTGCGATCGTAGAGACATTTGGAGGAACCGCAAGCCATTTTGGAAGATGTTTGGAATTGAAACAGGAGAGCTTAGGACGATCTGCAGTTTAGCTGGGTTAGCCATTGTTCATCTTGGACTTCGATAAGTTGATGCGTGGGAATAGAGAAGAAGAAGAAGAGTATATTTAGGATGACTTACCGATGCGATGACGAGGCCAGTGAGATTTAGGGGTTTGTATAGAAGAATGAAGTTCCAGGTTTCGAACTGCAGCACGAGTTGGAATTGAATTTCAAGCTTGGGCGGTAGCTTGGACCATGCCGACCTATTTTGGGCTACAGCTGTAACATGATTGCGTCACCAATTGGGCCAAAGTGTGGGAGTGTGGGGGTGGATTGTGATTCAACGTGTAGACCCTGGATTTGATCCATCCCTCTTAGCAATATTCCCGAGCTCAGCCTCCAATGAGCCACTGCAATGATGAAGTTTTGACAGAGAATGTATTCCGAGTATGCTACAGAAATCATTAACCTGCCCCTCTTTCTGGAGACGAACTCTGAGGTCGTCTATCAAGATGGCCAGAACTAATGCCATGGCATATCAAGCTGGGTTGCCCGAAGAAGCACTGAATTAATATGCAGTCAAAGTAATAGTTAATAAACAATAAGGTCTCTCAGAGTTAGAGATACCTAGTAGTGTATCATGACTGATAGGAAAATCAGACGTTTCACCAAGGACTGAGATCAAATGACTATGCAGGCGAGTACACTTTCTTATCACTGGCTAAGAGTCCATGCTAATGTTGGTGTAAATTCCGCTTGGATGGGCCCCAAGTGAGGAGAGCGATGGTCCAATTATTGTCTCCTGAGAGAACTTGGTTGGAACGAACGTCATAGATCTATACGATACCAGAACTCAAACTGGCCATGCGGAGTTTGAAGTCTAGAGCATGGCCTGCCTGCGAGAAGTCCAAGTCTATTTTCTAAATAGGTATGCACATTCTTCTTCAGTCGCTAAATGACTTCGACAGCCAACACTCCTTACGTACGATCCAAGTCAAGCATCAGGTGCCCTCCTCTATCTCGCATAATTAAGCACGCTGAACCATGGCCTCACGGTCAGGACCGGTGCCGATGTACTTGATCTGCTCAACTTTAGCAATTGCGGTGCAGGTTAGTGTGCGTGTTTGCTTACCTTGACTCCAACAAACTTCTCGATGTACTGCTGGTGGTCAGTGCCACTGTTCGTTATGCTAGCCCGGGGGGGTATGCTCACCTCGACGTAATCGCGGGCTGCCCTAGGAAGGTCGTAGTAGGTCCTCGCGTTGGTGGTCGGCTTTTGCCAGCCTGGCATCTCGTGGTAAACCACCTCAGCTCGGTTCAGGATGTCAAGATCCGCAGGGTAAGAATCCAGTTCCTTTCCAAATGGTCAGTTTCCACAATCTATCATCATCACCTTGTTGGCATCACTGACCTCTCCATCGATCTTGTAGGCAATGGCGATCTTGATTGTTTCGAAGGTATCCAAAACGTCGAGCTGCAGAGTGTTAGAGCGCTTTGACGCGTGCCACGGGCTTTTTCTACCTTTGTGAGATTCAGGCTGTCGTAGTAATTGATCGAGTTACTGTACTTGACCACAACAAGGTCTGTGTGTGCTTGTCAGCTATGTTCCCTACTACTCGAGGTTTCGAGGTTGTATCTACCAAGCCTGGAAGCGGTCAGTAAGTTTGTCAGCAGGTCAGAGCCATCGTGACAACTCACCATCCACATCGGCGTCTGCGGCCAGTCGACGTTCCCTAGGTAAGTCTTGTCAGCGTGGAAGCTCGAAACCTCCAGGACGCTTGTGGTCTCACCCATTCGCGTCCAATCTCCTGGAGCTTGGTGCCAATCCTAAGTTAATCATTCAGCTTCAAAAGAACCCCAAGATGGTAATCAAGACGCACTCTTCCGTATCCTCGGTCTTAAAGGCCCCGGCCCCGACACGGGTGGTATCTGTTGCTAGTCAGCAGTAGATTATGGCCATAGAGCAATTGACATACAGGCCTTGACCACCCCAACCGTCTCCGTGATATTCTTCGGGTTCAGTGCAAGTCCACCAATAATACCAGCAAGTGTGGTACTTGAGGAAGTGACGAACTGTAGTTGATCATGAATACCAGTGCAAACCAAAAGGTCAAGTTGGCGGAAACTTACTGGATAAGAACCATAATCAACATCTAGCATCAGTGCCTGTTCAATTGGGAACAAGTACAAGCGCCAGGTCCCAGAACCCCTTTCCTTCACAGGAGACTTGACTGATACTGATCTACCAGCGTGGCACGTGGCGCAGAGGTTTGACATGAAGCCATGGGCTCACAAGGCGCATTCCGCGCATGAAACCCTCATCAACTCCACTGGCCACGCTCGACAGCCAAGTAGACGAGTAGAAGTCAGGGCTCCGTATGACTCCCGAATTCTGCCGAGGCGTGAACATATACACAGCTTGTTACAGCGGAGGCTCCTTGTTAGGCACCGCTAGCAAGGTGAAAGCTCAAATGAGCAATATGTCCTACCCCGGGCTAAGAATCTTGCGGGATTAGGAGAGAGGACTGTGAGACCACGGGCACGGTGCTCGTTCCGCCAATACGTCAGTACTACTCGCTTAGTCATAGGATGAGAACCTTACGTTTGCGCCTTCGATCACAATTTTCATGTTGCTCTCCTGTGCGGATTTCATAAAGGCCACGCCGTCCACGACGTACTTACTGAGCGTTTGCCTGTACTCATCGAAACGAGCAAGCTCGGCCTCGATGTCATATTTGAGCAGTTCTCCGAAGCGCTTTTGAAAGCCATTGGCCAAACGTCTTAACTTCTGCTCGAAAACTTCAGGGTTAAAGACATCGGTCATTTTGATGCCAGTTCGCTGGGGAAATTAGCACACAGCCCGTTCCAATATAATGATTATCTCTAACCGCTCTACTTGTCTGGTAGCAGGGACCAATGCCTATGGTGCAAGTCAGACTTCGTTGCTTATATAGCGTTGCTGGCACGACATTGACTGGGATTTTCCACGCCATTGAGATCTGGGAATGTTTGCGATGACGTGACAAAAGCAGAAAGTGATAGTCCATCATAGAGTCCTGGGGTGAGCATACCGCGTCTTGTTGTTCCGATAGCTGCGTCTAGTGTAGACATTAGCTATTATTTCTCAAGGGCAATATCAGAAACTATGGGACTAACCTCCAAGTTCCTCCTCCTCGAGACCATCCACTGCGATGTGCAGGTCCAAGAGAATATTGACCCTATCAGAAACAAGGATCCGATCATGTACCGCAGTCAGGTTCTTCTCAAGCTCCTTGAGCTCGCTAAAGAAACTTGGGCTAGAAGACAGAGTTAGTATTTTTGGCATGTTCGGTCGAAAGCATGAGCCAGGCCAGACGTCAACAAGTTGCTGGTGTGGTAGTCGAGTTAGGAATGGATGGCTATATGAAGGCTTACACATGGAAAACTACGCCCGAACCAATGAAGTTCATGCTGTGGTACTTGTCAACCTCGCTGTTGCCAGCTTGAACGATCAATATTCTCGACTAACCATCTTGGGTTGATCAGCCCAGAGGGCAAGAGGTGAAAGCTGCCTCTACGTTAGCAATTATCCAGTCCCTCCACGTGTGCTGGTTCTCACCTATACGAAACTCCGTTTACACTTGGCACGTATTAGCAACACAATGCATATCAATACATCGATCGATAGAAAGAGTTTGACTAACCGCACGAGATGTCCAGCGTTATGTCCACCCTTGACGTTGATTAGCGGGTATTCGGTTCTGCTTGTATTGTGCTTACCGCGGCTCGGGCACAGAGCTGAGCCTCCTGGCACTGTCCATCAACCAATTTGCCCTTCTGTAGTATGGTTAATGCCTGGGTGTCATCTGTTGTGTTAAGCTCTGCCTGAGTACTCACACCTTCGTCACCTGTGGAAGTCCTGGTCAGTATAATGGCATCGAACCGATATCGGCTGGATGCGGAGGAAGGACACATTCCAGGATAGGGAGAGAAACATACCCCATTGGGCTCCGAGAATGACAGTGATCGCCATGTTGTACAAAAATCAAGTTTGACTGCCGTAGCTACTAATGTACGTGCCGTTGTAGTGTCTGGAGAGAAAGAATAAAGACGTGATCTGGAGGTTCAACAAGTGAATAGCCACGTGATTATGGCGGGGTGCTTGCACCATATCCCCTCCATCTCCATCGCGGTCAGGCACTGGCGGTCCCCAGCCAGAACAACTTGAACATAGGTAGTCCAGATGATAAGATTTGTCTGTGTAAGGCATTGTTGAGTCCTGCATTGTCTTTCATGTATGAGGGATCAACCATACTATGCCCTCGAGTTCGTAGCCAACTTAAGATGCCTACACTCTCCATACGTATCTCGCACCAGATCTGACCAGACCGACCCCCATGGGCTTGATTTGAGGGATGCTTGACGTTACTGATATCTCTGCTATGAATGCTACGAACAGGAGTACGGCACGCTCTTGGGGCCGAGGGGGCTTGGTTCTATAGGTAGAACGTTAGAGGATTATTGCTTTAAAAGCTAGTTTCATATGGAAAGAAATATACTAAGTCTCTAAGCTGGAAAAGGGCAAAGAGAAATGGTGAGCGTGAGCTACCGGGGCGTGTGAACGGCACCCGGGGAACGGTCTGGAACGGAAGCGGAGGTGTCTCCACTTTTACCGAACCGTCATTGACCGCCGACGTCGGCTGCTTCCTATAACGTGGAGCCAGACATGGACCAAGCGGACGATTAAACATCTTTGTGATTAAGCTATTAACCATTACATTAGTATTTCAGTTCTTAGGAACTACGGAATATCAGTTGTTTGATACTACATTTACATCTTCAGGACTCGATTCATAAACGGTACCTAGTGAAAACAAGTGACCTGTGATTTGAGAATATGGGAAACCTGTGTTGCAATTCAACGATGTTCTACCAGTTTGAGATACTTCAGATGTCACAAGCTCCACATCTTCTGTAGGATACCTGCATGTATGTAATTAACTAAAAACGGCTAAATATGGCTCAGGGCTTTGAAACATTCACAATTGATTGGCAAATCAAGGATGAATGTTAGAACACATAGATAGAGAAAGTCATGGTAAGGTACAGGTATGGTAAGGTATATAAAAGAACACTAATCCGCGACTTCCGCTTCTCGAGAGTATCATAAAATCCAATAGCCCATCCCTAACCATACTCTGCGAAAGCATATACATGCCGCCTAGCCCATATGAAGGAAAAAACAAAACCGCCTTGTAGAAGCCTCCCTTGTTCAACTCCTGCACGCCCCTTGCTGGCATCATATATTCTTGTGTGTTACTCTTTTTGTTCCATAACATCATCATGCAGCAGCTCCTCCTGTCTTTTCTGTGGCGCTCTCCTTCTCCAGAAGATTACCAAGATGCTGCAGGTCGTCTCGAGCTTTCGGGTCACGCTCCAGAATCCTCCTTACGACTTCCCACTCCGTGCGGGCCATCTGGTACGCTTGAGGCAAGATGAACTGCACGGTTGGGGATGTTATCCACTGTCCCAGGAGCTCGTGTGCCATGGCCACGCCCGCCTGCTGAGCCTGGTGCCTTTGTGCTTCTGACATCTGTGCTGGCGCAGCCGCAGGTGCCGGTGTTGGAGCTTGTGGTGGCACTGGTGGCCGAGTGTACGGTGGCTGGGGAATTGGCACAGGAGTTGTAGATTGCCATTGGCCCGGTGATGATTGCTGAGGGAAGCCTCCTTGAAACCCTCCCTGAGGGGCCTGGGGGGTTGCGGGAGAAAATGCCGGGCCCGCGGACGCTGTTGAGTTGCTTCTCTGAGCATGCGCTGCAGGCACTGGTGTACCCAGGGCTTTGGCATCTTGTTGATTGGCTGTACCATCCTTCACATGTTTGAGCTGGTCAGGCTCGTTATGATAAACGAACACCGCAAGCAACATTGGTTCCGTTCGAACCTTGGGGATCTTATTATCGACCAGGTTGAGCATAAACTCGGGATAGTTGTCTTCCCCTGCAGGAACTGGTACCAGATATGTATCTCGTACATTACCGATTGTCTTATCTCCAATTACGCCGTACCGCTTCTTGCTGATGAAGTAGTTAAGAAGATTGTGAAACTCAGTATGAGAAAAAGGCGAGAACGGTGAAACTGAAACGACAATGACATCGGTGCTTTTACTGTAACGAAGACTACATAAGTACTCGATAGCACTTTGTTCAGGGATTCGTCCAGCCACCGTCATCCTCTTAGGAATCAACTTAGACCACGGTCCAACTGAAGCAAAGTTGGCACCACCAATATATTTGGCTGTGGCTGGGAAGTCAGCAATCGAGCTCATAGCAAGAGAGCCCTGCCAGATGACATCGGGGTCCTGAGTCTCCTCAGTGGGCGAATAAGGAGGTGACTCGTTCTCATCTTGGAGCATGCGATCTACATCGGGATCCACGCCCGGTCCATTGGCTCCGGTTACCAGAGCCGAAGGCCGCCTATTCTGAGTTGTAGTGGGAGACTTGACGCTGGAGAACACTTCATTGATGTCGAATTCGGGATGACTTGGCGATCGCTGCTCATCGTCCTGCCGCTGTGGGTGTGAAGCCAGGTCCGCCTTGTCGCCTCCTGTAGGTTCCTTCTTAACGGCCTGAGGCTCTGGTCGATGAGGGGGTCCTGGTGGGAGGGGCACAGCAGAGTCGTTGACAAATGTTTCGTCGTCAACGACCTCTTCGCCCTTATGTGTTCGTCGAACGCGAGGCCCTGTCTCAGAAGTATAGAGGATGGACTGTTTCTCAGCCTTGGCTTTCATCTCGGCAGTCTGCTTCTTCATTTCCGACGAGGCAAGCTGCTCTGATGTCATAGTAGCCAGAGCTGCGGGGGATAGAGTCTTATGGACAAGTCCATGACACAACTCCGGATTGTTCTTCAGGTTGAAAGTCAGTGACTTGATTTGCTGGTTGTATTCTTTCTGTCCCTTGGTCACAGGGTAAGAATCATAAACAGCGCGCTCAATCTGGAGCGAGAAAGTCTCGGTCATAGACTCAACCGTGCTGCCCTCTTCCAGGTCCAGTTCGCCCTGCTTCTGCATCAATGTCAAAACATGGCCGATGGACTTGCTCATAGCTTTAGCGGGGCCAGTCCGAGGACCGGGCAGATCTGGTATCGACTTGGCGAGGTCATCAGGTGGTGTATAGGAGACAGGAACAGGAGTTGCACCGTTCTCTGATATACGACGAACCTTGGCAGACTACACATTGTATTAGCTAAGCATTTAGGGAAAGGGGAGTCTGTAAATCGTACCTTGCCATCGGCGTCATGGGACTCTTCGCGGGCTTTTCGCTTCCCTGTTTTTGTTTCTTTCTTATCTTTGGTTGCGTCCGGAACAGGCACAGGGGAAGACTTGGCTTTGGTCTTATCTTCCTCCTTGGTCTCGCTGTGACGCTTGCCTTTGCCTTTTCGTCCGCCACGCTTCTTCTTCTTGGACTCCTCCTCATGTGCTTTGCGCCGAGCTTCCCAAGGTTTCTCTCCCTTAGCTATGCCATCGAGGAGCTCCTTGTGATCGTCTGGCCTGCATTGCTCACACCAGTAATGCTCAGGGATCTCATCATCGAATGAGCTTACCCCAACACAAACGTTGTGCTGCCATGCGCCGCAGGTTTCGCAAGCGATCCAGGCTTCACCGGAATCTTCATCTTGTTCGGTGGCGCCGCATACACAGCGGATCAGTTCGTCTTCCTCTTCTTCCTCTTGCTCTTGCTGCTGTTCCTGTTCCTGTTCTTGTTCTTGCTCCTTGGCTTTCTTGGTCTTCTTAGTCTGTCGCTTTTTGGGCACGGCCGCAGGTTCAAGTTCGTCGAATGATTTGGTATGCTGACCTTTTGTGGCGCGTACCGATCGACGAGGTTCCGCTTCGCCTGAAATGTTGCTGTTAGTTGGTGCTGCAGAATGCGTGGTGTCGCGGTGTCGGTCGCGCTTTGGGGGAGCTGTGTCTTGAACGAGCTGGGATTGCTTCGGGGACTTTGCGAGTCTTTGTCGCTTACCGGACATGATTAAGAACGTGCGAATGGCTGTGGTGTGGTGTTTTGGATGAAGCGACGCGTGCCGATGTTGAGCGGCGTTTGGTGGCGTGGCAGGTGTTGGGAGGGATTTCTACTGTTGCAACGAAGCGCAGGATGGTGTGCGCCCTTAGACAGGCATTGAGGTAATTACGTGGGAAATAATTGAGAGTCACGACTATGTCAAGAACAGATTCAGGTTCTTCCCAGCTGATCCACGCGCAGATGCTTGTCTTTCAAATCTCTAACCGTGTTGGCGCAAAGAGGTGCCCTCACTAGCACAGGCTCTCAGGTGGAATGTGGCCTGCGCCTAAAGGATAAGAGTATGTTTCGCTGTAATTCGAAAATGGTGAATGCGATAAAAGTGGTAATGTCTTGAGGCAACCTCACGATCTGCGTGAGAGGTGCGCGACGGTTTTGCGATAGTGGAGATCCAGTATCAGTAGAATGCGATAGGTCGCGTGCCGTGGTTGGAATGACGCGCGCAGTTGAGAATCAATGTTCAGGGGAGTATTTTAGGATGTCCCGTGAAATAAATTCAAGCAGCTGTAGTCTCTCGGAGCTGGTTGGGGAGGATGGTACTGGTGAAATGATGATGTAGAGGAGAAGAGTCACAATCCCGAAACTGGAGGGGGAGGGAGCTATTGCGGAGGTAGAAAAACTAGTAGCTTTCGCCCGGTCACCCATGCCCTGTAGCTGAATTGTGGTGGCAGGTGGCAGGAACTAACCAAGTCAGGAACCTACTGACAATGCGATTGCTTTGCGTGACAATAGAGAGCAAGTATTTGATGCCTGATTGTGGCAGTATGTTTGCCTGATTAACAAGCCATTACGGAGTAGGTAGGTACCTACTAGGTTAGGTACTAAGGTAGTACCTAGGTAGGTCTTTCTACCACCTACAGGTATTTTCCAGTGACTGACTGTATGGGAATAACAAGGTATAGGATTAGTCATGATGCAGGTCAGCCTTGCAGCTTAGGGTCTAAGTCGATTGGCTCGACTTTACCCCCCATTCTACAACCTGAGGCAACATTCTTCAGCCTTGGTGTCAAGCAGCTCACCAGCAGAAAGCTAACGCGGCGCGGCGGCCTAGAGCTCCGTTGCAGGTAACGACGTAAACGCATCCACAGCCTCAACACCATCACCATCACAACGGCTCTCTGTTACTTTCGACCTGCTTTTTAGTTGCTTCAGAGAGGCTAACCGCATTCTTCATCTCTCTTATCTCGTAATCACAACGAATCCATCATGTCTCGCCGTTACGATTCCCGAGTACGTTGGCCCTTGAAGCTCCAGTACCTTGAAGCTCTCCCACCAAGCTAACCGGCTTCTATAGACAACCATCTTCTCACCAGAGGGCCGTCTGTACCAGGTCGAATATGCTCTAGAAGCCATCTCACACGCAGGTACAGCCATTGGCATCCTAGCAAAGGATGGTATCGTTTTAGCTGCCGAGCGAAAGGTCACCTCGAAGCTGTTGGAGCAAGACACCTCCGCCGAGAAGCTCTACATCTTGAATGAGTGCGCAAACCTTCCATTGTGTACCTGCTAGGCTGAGGGTTGTTTATTAACAATACTTTCGTTTAGCAACATGATTTGCGCCGTCGCTGGCATGACCGCCGATGCCAACATCCTTATCAACTACGCCCGACAAGCGGCTCAGCGATACCTCCTCACTTACAACGAAGACATTCCTTGCGAACAGCTTGTGCGTCGACTTTGCGATCTTAAGCAGGGATACACCCAACACGGTGGTCTACGACCCTTCGGTGTGTCTTTCATCTACGCCGGTTGGGATCCTCGTCGACAATTCCAGCTCTATCTCAGCAACCCCTCTGGCAACTACGGTGGCTGGAAGGCTACAAGTGCGGGTGCCAACAACGCAAGCGCACAGAGTCTTCTCAAGCAGGATTACAAGGAAGACTGCACTCTGAAGGAGGCTTGCGGCATGGCGGTCAAGGTTCTCAGCAAGACGATGGATTCTACCAAGCTGAGCAGCGAGAAGAGTACGTCGTGTCTATGAATATCTACCAGAGCTCCCGCTAACATCACTCCCAGTTGAATTCGCGACAGTAGGACAGACCGAGGACGGCAAGATCTACCACCGCCTCTGGAGTGCTGACGAAATTACGGCGTTGTTGAAGGAGCATGACCTGGCGAAGAACGAGGAGACAGAGGAAAAGTAAGCAACAAGGCTATAGATTCTTGATAGATGGGGAGAGGAATGTGGGGCCACTCTTATCTGCCCCTGTACAATAATATCATGAAATGACCACAAACGAGACTTATCCAACTCCTGGCTTGACCAAGTCTAAAAGTGCTGTCGAACACATGATGCTTCGGTGAAAGAGTACTGCAATGCAGGCAAAGCCAGAGCATCTCGGACAAGCATGCAAACTATTCCTAGTCCCCAATATCAGCGTCGCGAACCTCTCAAGTTTTCCATCTCGAATCCTACATCTGTCCCTCTTGCTGCCTCCTCATCATCCGTGATTCGTTGCCATCCCGGCTGAGTATCAACTCCTGGTCGTGGATAAGGCTCGTCGCATTTCGTGCTCGAGAGGCGAGGAAAGTGCCGCCTGTAGCTCCAATACGCAATGCTCATGCCCAGAGCTGAGCCTACACAGACATCGTAGACGTCGTGGCGATAATCCTCGCATCTCGATATAGCGACTAGACCAGCACCGATGAGTGGCAGCAGGCAGACCAACGCGCGGCTTAGATCACGACCGCCAGCCGAGTAACGAAACACGTGAAGTTGGCCGGCGAGGAAGAGGCTGAGAAAACCAAGGCCAGCGAATGAGAAGGATGAGTGGCCAGAAGGGAATGATCGCCAGCCCTCTTGCAGTATGTGGCCATCTTCTGCCGTGCAGACATCAATGGTAACAAGGGTGTTGGCCTTTGTGCCGATTGCGGGCTTGCAACGGTCTAGCAGATCAGGACGAGGCCTGCCAACAGCGTTCTTGATGATGTCAGTGATGAAGGATGTGAGTACAATAGAGATAAGGAACGAGAGGTAAGTGACTTCATGCTTGGCCGCTGATGACCTTGCGATTATGTTGTAAGCGATTAAAACTCCCAGCGGTATGAAAAGGGCGTATACGAAGTTCATAACTGGTAGTCTTTGTTAAGTCCAGTCACAGAAGCTGAGGTTGATGTTTGAGACATACAGACAGGGACACGCTCGTGAACCGCAAAGGGATACGAGATCTGCAGATCGTTTATGAAGAACATGCGATGAAATGGGTTGACGAAGAGGACCGTCTGTAAACCTGTCAACCATTATTCTGAGTTCCCATTGACGATATAGTACAGACCAAGATCCAGCCTGTTAAGAGGAACAGGAAGCCGACATAATCAGGCGCGTGAGTTGTCTGTTGTATGTCATGAGTAAAACACCAAATAGGTAACGATTTGCGAGTCACTATACCTTCCAATATCTCCTCAAAAATGAGATTGGCCCGCCGGATGAGCTATAGCTATGAGCTGGAGCCATGATTGATGACGATGGTGGAAATCAGGTTTGACGGGCGGAGGCGTCGGAACATAGGTAGGCAGATTGCAGTGTCGCAACAATTGGAAATGCAGTTTTTCCTTATCGGCAAACGAGAGGGCGTTTGTATTTGTTACCGAGTCATGTTAAAGAGACGCGGCTCATCAGTTCGGTGCTGTTGAGGAGACGTAACAGGCTCTTGCTGAGGTTGGACATGTTGCCAAATGCGGGAATGAGGGCCCCCTGATATTCCGCTGGTTTTCTGGGGCCATACAGTCAGTACCTACCTATCAATGAGAGAATGCAGATGACAAGTCACTGATGTACACCAACAGTATGCTGCCAGCGTTTGTTATTAGTTCTCAGGAGACTAAGAGTCAGGACTAAATGGTTACAATGAATTGTCAAACTTTTCAGACCCAACCTCAGCATGAACACCGTTGTTTTGTCTAGGTACTCATTGCAAAAGATACCCTCGACGCCGTAGCACTCTACACGCAGAAACGGTGTTGAGGGACATAACAGACCAATATCTACCCATTTTTGTATCCAACACAATAATACCAACCAATGTTTTAAACATGGATTTTCATCTCCAACGTTGAAGTGAAGAGAGGTTGATATACTGATCTCAGATGGAGTTGCCCAGTTACAGGGTAGGTAAGGTCAAATCACCATCCACTATTTCTTAGGCCCAAGCTCTTTCGGATTTCTTCTGTGACGGCTGACGATCAGGAAACTTCGTTGCTATCCATCGGCCATAACAGCTTTTCAACAAGACAACTCCTACCGATGAAATATCGACAATCGGAAACCTAGAGCATCTGCCTGCGCGAACCTATTGCTTCCGAAGCGCCATCTCAGGAATAGCTTCTGAATGTACAACCTGATGTCATAGTTTGCGACGCGACGAAGCGAGATGCTCAAATCGACACACACACCATCGGCAGCCGCTTTGGCACCGCTCCCGCCAGGATGGAGCGAGCACACCGCACCGACTGGACATACATACTATTACAACGCTGAAACAAAAGAATCAACATACAAGCGTCCAGGAGCCCAGCCGCCTCCACAGCCAGCGCAACCACCAGCTCCCGCATATCCTGGTTATGGCTCAATACCATACTTAGCCGATCCCAACGTTGCTAATGCTTATATGGCGCAATTCAATCAAGATAATAATGGGCAAAGGTATAATAATAGTTCACGAGGTGGGCATGGAGGAGGCCGTGGAGGCTTCGAAGGTCGACCGCGTCCACAGCCTGTTGATAAGCCGAGGAAAAAGGAGCCGATCCCAGGTTGTGAACCATGGATTCTCGTATATACTAAGTACTCGAGGCGCTTCGTATACAACCCTATTAAGAATGCCAGCTACTGGCGCATACCGGAGAAGTTGATGCCAGCCATTTTGGAGCTTGACAAGGCCCGGCTGCGACAGAAAGCAACAGGAGAGAGCCAAGGAAAGGAGAACAAACAAGATGAAAAGAAACCAGAGCAAGCAATACCGCAAAAGAAGGACGCCCCAGTGGCAGGGTTGGACGACGATAGCGAATATGAAGAGGTCGAGGTGACGGATGACGAAGGGGATGATGAAGGCGATGGAGAACATCCCTCCAAACGGCAACGGACTGCAGATCCTGGTGCAGACGAAGACGTCCCCATGGAATTCACAGAAGCTGATTTTGCAGCTCAATTGCAGGCCATGGGAGACGATTACGGCCTTGAACCAGGCGACTACGACGACGGAAACGCTGAAGAATGGCCTGAAGGTGCCGAGGGAGTGCCTCTATCCGTAGACGACGCGAAATACCTGTTTAAGGATCTCTTGAACGACTTCAACATCAACCCATACAGTCCGTGGGAGAAACTCCTGGAGGAAGGCAAAATCATTGATGACTTGCGATATACAGCACTCAGCACCACGAAAGCACGTCGGGATTGCTGGGACGAGTGGACGCGTGAGAAGATCGCGGAGTTGAAGGAGCAACGAGCCAGGCAGGAAAAGCGGGATCCTCGTATTGCTTACATGGCATTCCTGCAAGAAAAGGCGACGCCGAAGCTGTACTGGCCCGAATTCAAGAGAAAATACAAGAAAGAGGACGTCATGAAAGATCACAAGATCACCGACAAGGATCGTGAGAAGGCATACCGAGAACATATTGGTCGCCTCAAAATGCCCCAGTCCAAACTCAAGTCCGATCTTACTGCCCTGCTCAAGGCCCAGCCGGTGCACTTACTAAACAACAAGTCGCTATCTACCGGCTTACCCGACCCGGTCCTCACCGACATTCGCTTCATATCCCTCGAGCCCAAGATCCGCGATCCTCTGATCGAGGCTTACGTGAGCAATCTGCCTCCCCCACCAGAGGACCTAGATGCAGCCAAGGACGACGAAGAGCAGCGAAAGCAGCGCGAGTCACGCGAGAAGCGTGAGAAAGCACTGGAGGAGAGAAACCGTGTGGTGGAGGAACAGAAAAAGAAGCGCGATCGAGAAGTGGCGGCTAGTAAAGCCCGATTGAGAGATGAAGAAAGGGAGTTGGAGATGGCCATGAAGGTAGGAAAGCAAGGATTGCAGAGCCAGCTGGCCAGCATGAAGGTTGCAGAAAAGGAACCATGATACCGGGGGAAAAAAGATCTTGTATCTGCATACACATCTATCTAGTATTCTAATTCTAGCGACTAGCCGTGATCGGTTTGTGTCTATAGGCAATCACAGTCCATACATGAAAGTCAACTTCTTGTCTGCGTATCGGCGGTCGTTGAGTCTCTCACTCTCGATCTCCTCTGGCGACATGGTGCTTACTATCGCCTGCTTGCGTTTGTTGACCGCTGCAAGCATGAATCGATAAGACAAATATCCGATCAAGGCAATGGCAAGGAAACCCAGCGTGACATAAAATGGAAATCTGTAATGGGGCTTGTATCGCTGTCGGTACAACTGCGCCCCGATCACGCCTCCGAGGTTACCGAAACCATTGACGCCAAGCACAAGAGCTCGCTTGCCAGGCTCAGGCGTGTTGCCACTGAGCCATGCCATAGTGAGAGGAGCCGAAATGTATACACCAGATAGGAGCACACAAAGTGAAACGTACTGCCCAGTGCTCGAGGAGATTGTAACGGTAAGGATCAGGCCGATGATACCAATGACCAAGCCACCCAAGATGTGATATCCCCGTTCCTTGTAGTGATCCGAACTCAGAGCAAAGGCGTAGAGGCCAAGAGCACCACAGACGAAGGGCGGAACTGTCATCTAGATCGCTCCCAGTCAGTCAGGCCCAGTTGAGGCTAAGATGAAGTAAAACATACCAGGTTGGCAAGGATAGACTCATAACCCAGCCCCTGAACAACAAGGGGCAGGAAAACCGAGAATGCACCGCTGGGGACACTTGCGCAAATGTTGAGTAGAAGGACAGTCCACAGCTTCCAGTCTTTCATCGTTTCCACGAAATCTCTCTTGCTCAAGCGATTCTCTTCGATACCATCTTCGCTGTACTCATGCTGTACGAAATCGGCGTTGTCTTGTTTCATGCGTTCAACAGCAAACTCTCGTTCATCTGGTCGAAGAAACCATGCAGAGCCAGGGCCTTTGGGTAGCCACAGCCAAGCAATGATAGCAAAGAAGCATGTCAGGGCTCCCTCGATGAGGAAGAGATATTGCCAGTTCTTGAGGCCACCACCACGGAGATGGAAAATGCCATATGCTTGAAGGGGTAAGTAATTAGCCTGCAGAATTGTTACAGCCAGAACTCACAGATTGAGCCTGAGAAGGCTCCGGCAATGGCATACTGTCCGTAGAATAGAGCGAGTCTAACACAGAAGTCGTAACGAGGATAGAAGAATGACAAATATGCAACGGCTGTGGGGTAGAAGCCCGCTTCAAAGGCGCCAATGAGCAAACGTGTGGCGATGAGTGCCCCTAGTGCAAGGTCAGAAGAGAGTTGACTAGATGTGGGAGCGAACGGAAGGGCTACAGACCACGTCCTTTGATGAAAGCTTGACCAATTGTCACTGCACCCCAGCCAAACTATAGAATGTGTCAGTAACTTCCCGCTCTTAGTCGTGGTACCATCTAATTACCATTAAAAAGGGGATCCAATGCTTAGCACCAATATAACGGCCAGCTGCGGCAGAGACGGGCTGCAAGACAACAAAAGTGACGAAGAATAGAGAGACCGCTTCATTCAAATCATCAGGCTCAGCCCCTATGTCCGTGGTAAAACCTGATAACAAGCTGTTAGAAACTGATTGAGCACGTACAAGGGGTAGAGGACTAGGAGATATTGTTTACCTTGGGTTTCGGCATTACCAACATTGCCACGATCTAAACCATTAAAAAGATACAGAAGTGAAAGAAGCGGAAGCAACGCAAAATCGAGCTTCTGATTGAGGGCCCGACTTCTCTCTTTGTTCTGCTCGACTGAGTAGGCAGTGGGATGACTCGATGGAGTCTTGCTCGACTTGGTCGGCTGGAGGGCTTCCCGATCCGACATGACTGCTTCTGGTTCAGTTATAGATGTAAATATGTTTTTTTCTCCTGAAAGATGAGGAGACAGGCAAATTCCTTATGATATACTGTAGATATTACGAGCAGTGCACTGGCGTCGTTGCTGGGTTCATATAGGCAAGCGTTTGGCAGGCAACTCTCGCTTGCACAGGTTTCTCAAACATACACACTTGGAGGCTCTTGATGATATCTCCGCATATATTCCTAAGGCCCAGGGATTAATTGGGGGTCGGACCAATGATTCGACTTTCAGCTGTTGTCCCAAGAATCTGGTAAGCGTGATCCATGTGTAGGCCCGATCCGGACATCATTCTGTTTGTCACGGTCGTATATAAATCAAGGCTTGCTGTTGGCCTATCATGAAGTAAGAATCTGACAGCAGACCAGACGCTCGGGATTGAGGCTGACAGGAAGTGCCTCGAATAGGCAGATGCTCAGCGCCACTACTGTAACCTCGATCAAGGTTGCCTGAGCGTCGGGACACAAACTGACCGCATCTTTAGCTCGTAGAAAGCACGTTAAACGTGGTGGATGGCTGTATTGGGGTCGAAAAGTAGCGGGAATCGAGCTAAGGAGGTCCATCCTGACTCATTACCAAGGAGCGGGTACTCATAGAACGAATCGACAAGTGCCTCCACAATTACGCGCAAACCAGGGAAGTAATTCCAAGTTTGCCGCGATGAGCAAATCATGTTGCTGATGATCAAGTTCGTTAAGTCGTGGGCTGTGTCGTTAGGGCTGTAAGGCTGACATATACCCCAGAATCCAGGATCCTTCGCGCTGCTTACTGAGAACGTGTTGTTCCACACTTGGCGTTATGTCGATACGCCTTGATTGCAACAAGGGCTTATGGGTGGCTTGAATGAACGTTCTAGAATAACGCCTCAAGCAAAAGGGGTTACAATATTCTCATGTCGAACGTTGGTCCCTCTGGTGAGCTGAAGTAAAGTTTCCAATGTCTGAAACAGGCACTTCAAGTGAGTGGCAAGATGCACATCCGCTATCCCATTGATGGCGATTGAGGAACCTCCCCAATAACAGATACACCGGGCAGGAGGGCTTGCATGAGGAATCAAAACCTCCAACTGGGCAGACGATGTAAGACAACCCCCCACAACTATACTGATTCAGTCATAATTAGATGTTGTGATCCTGAGCCTCCGTCAGACGTTCCAAGGCACCCAGAGGCACCAAGATGCCATATGCTAATGCTATTGGTTGTGTCGTGAAAAAGGTAATGTAACTCTCCAGATTGTCGGGGTTAAGGACCTTGATACATATCGTCTCACTCGGATTTTGGCATCAGAGATTGGTAAAATATTGGTCAGCCTTTTTCTCGACTTCCTGGGCATAGTTTGATATTCCCGCACGACCGGTGACGCCGTCCTCAGTGATGTAGTGATCGATCAAATCGGGTGACACCCACTCGAAGTACACGTTTTTGACAGTGACCAGAGAGTGGGGAACCTCCCTCACAGCTGAGCTGAGGTCTCCCCAAGCTTGCATAACCTCGCATGAATCGTTTTCCTCCTGACCTGGCGGTGCAAAAGGGAGTACCTTCTCTTTCTCTGACAAAACGACAATCTTGGCTTTTAGAGACACGTACTTGGCTGTCAGAACAGCAGGCAGAGAACCGATTTTGTTGCTAACCGCGGCTGTTTTGTCGATCAGGTCCGCTCCGATGAGCACAATATCTATGTCCTTCGCTGCGATGCCAACACTTGCGTCAGTGTGGATTATCAAGCGGCTCCTAGCCTTGGAATTGTTGGCACATGAAGCAATTGACTGTGCCATCTTGACACCTTCGAAGAGTGGTCGGGATTCGAGCACATGAACCTCCACAGGTCGCGAAGTATTTCCCATAACGTGAGTGATGGCCGAGGTGATAGTTGAGCTAGAGGAGAGGGTAAGGATCTTGAGTGGTCCGCCTCCCGACAGATGCTGCTCTATGAAAGTCTGGAACATCGCGCCAGTTCTTGAAGTGGTATTCTGTCGGTCGCGGGCGTAATCCCCCAAGGCTCTGACGATATTATCGATCGAGCTCTTATCTAGTGGGCCGCGGGGTGGTATCCCATTCTGAACTATGTCCAGAGCTAATAGAACAACATTCAAGATAGACGCGCCCATACTTTCTCGCCCGTTCTTCCACAGGTGCCATCCCGCAAACCTGATGTTGTTCCACCACTGAACTTGATCAGTGAAATCGACTTTCTTCATAACATCGATATAGGTATCGAGGGCCTTGGTAGCTAGCTGGCGCGCTCCGCTTTCATGATCTTCCTGCAGAGCGACTAAGCCCCGGCTAAGCCTGTTGCCTGCCTCTTGGCCCAAATCAATGTTGAACCATACCCTTCTAAGACTCTCTAGGATGCGCGGAACACCTCCAAAGTCATCGCAGTCGTTGATTGCATCTGGATCGAACCATTCGTACCCCTCATGCTCCCAGTCAATTTTGATGCCAGCCTCACCGCGGCCACCGTCGCTCTCGGATTTGAGAAGGAACCCGAAAGGGTTGACAGTCCACTCTCTCCCAATAGACTCATCAACGAACGAGAATGGTTTGCCCTTCCGAAAAAGGCGTAAAGAGTCATGCGTAAGAGTTGTTTCCTCAGCAAGTTCCCTCCAGGCAGTGGCAATAGGATCCGCGTCAGTGTCATCTACACTTCCAGAAATGCCTGCATATTTGTGCCTTACCTAGTATGTAAGCACGGGTTCACTGATAAGGTAATACACTTTGCTTACTGATATGTGTTTACGTGACCGCTCCGGCGGAAGAGAGCGACCTGGGGTTTCTTGGCCTCACCGTCAGCGGGGAATCTAAAGATGAAGCTCGTCGCGACGTCTTTGTGCTTGAGAGGTGCCATTCGTGACGAAAGACTGCAGATCTTGGACGGTCAAAGATGACAGCGCGAGATCAAGTGCATGCCGTGGGCCGGTTGGGAAGCGAAAAGATGAGACTTTGGGATGCCGAGTAGGATTTTCGTGGGTGAGACAATTGGTACCTTACTACGCATGGGAACCCAAGGGAGGAAGGAAGATTGCGAATACCTTACCTCACCACATGCTTCATCACATGACTGTCACACGTCACTCTCAATTACATCAAGACAAAATGGAAGCGACAGTCATGAATTAAGTTACCAGGAATATCCTTGTCTCTCTTATTTCCATGTTTGAATCCGATCGTGTCCCGCTTGGGCCGATAGTTCGTTTCGCCATTTACCATTAGAGGGCATTTAATTGTCCATCATCAACACTAAAGTCATCGTAACTGCATATCCTACATTCAAATGCCGCTTGACAGTCTCTCAAATATCCAATAAAATTAAAACCTTAAAAGCATCAACTTTTGTTCCATAATAAGAACCCAATGTCAGTCGCCAACTTTTGTTGCTCACGGGGCGCCCAACTCCAACTCAAATGAGATACCCATTGTTGGATTGCCAATCGACATCAATCCACGAAACCAACTCATTATATAGTATGTGCCCTTGATCAACAAGGATAGGTTGCTGAAGTGTCTCTGATGCCAGCTTGTCTGACCATTGCTGTCCCATGTCAACATGTGTTCGATTTGCGATCGGATCGTAGGTTGTCGTAGTCTGTGTCATGTTGACGGAACGTGTCGCAGTGCTCATGTCAACAGGGATAGGGAGACGCTGCACAAGAACGCGAAGATCCCGAAGTACCGTGGCACAGTCCCGACCGTAGTTGCTACCAACTCGACTCTCATCCTCGAACCTCCCAATCACAAAGTCGAGGTCAAGTGAACGAGCCTTTTCACTCCGAGAAGACGGGCACAGATCCTCTACCAGCTGCTGTAACATCAGTACTATGGCAGCGTTGAAAATGAAGTGAAGACCGGCTTGGAGCAGCTTTCGAGGATGATTGACAAGTAGGATCTGTCGAGCGAGCTGAATATTGTGTTCTGCTGATGCTATGCATCGCTTCAGTAGAGGGAGTTGTGGATGTGAACTCAAGGAACACTGCCGCGATACCAGCTTTTCCGCGAATGATTTTTTAACCAAGGCGAAGAAAACAGGGCGGATAGTCAAGATTATTAACTAAAGGACATGTTAGTCTAGCCCCAAAAGACATTGGGAAATGGAGAAATTGCCTGGTTGTAGTGCATGTGCAGCAAGCAAGTGGCTGGATCGTCGCTCAACCCGTTACTTGCGAGTTGTACCGTAGGTGGAAGTTTCAAACACCACTCATCGAGCATACTGATCTCCCCTTCGAGGCTCCTCACAGGTCTTGTGGCTTCTTCTGACGGGGAAATGCGATATGTATTGCACACGATATGGCATGATATCCGAGAAAGCTCGACATGAGCTTTGAGACCATCTGCTGGAGGCATAGACCTATCGAATGGAGTCAGCCAGAGCGAAGGGGCATATAGGAGGGCATACCTACGGAGCATCGCAAGGAAGGGGTAACCGAATTGCGTCGTCCATGATGGTCGGGGGCCTCCCCATGAGACAGCTTAAGTAGCGATCCAGTACGTACAGCGTCCAGAACACGCGTTTGCCACTCTCGTCAAGCCAGCCCCTATGTGCGCCGTGCATGATGCTGATATGCATAGCGTTGCTCACGCAGATATATGCGGCATCACGGCGGTTCATCTCTATCAGGTAGAACCCCATCAATGTCAGCACCGATACTTCGTTGGGCGTAAAGCGTGTAATGTCAAGCGGGTTCCCTAGGAGCATACGGGCCCGGCTGAAGTAGTTCTCGCTGAGATGAGGGTCTATAGAGATATCCTGAGGCGGCATGATCATAGCTTGAGATACCACAGCAAATGCAGTCTGGTAGAAAGCCAAATGACGGCACTTGGCGAGACGCAAGGTTGCCGAGTCTCGTTCCACGGAGGGGATTGTTGGCGTTGAAGAGAGATCCCCCCACCAGTAGATTCCTCCACTTGGCCATTGGCAGTTACCATCTTGGATGAAATAACGAAGCTCGGATAACATTGAGTCCATCTCTGGGGGTGCAGGAAACCATGTCGGGTCAACATCTCGATCATGCAAAGGTCGCGAGTCGTAGGTCTGGTAACGACCAAGACTTGACAAAAACGCGCTTCCGTCAGAACCTGGACGCAGATTTTGATATGCAAGAGGCAGAACTGTAGTCATGAATTCCTTCAAGTAGTCGAGGAAAGTTGCGCCACTCGTCTCACCCAGGAAACGAGCATAGCCGTCAGGGTCATGCAACAGGCGACCCTCAGTTGAGACCAAGTTCTCTTCGTCGTCCTGCCGATTTTGAGGCGTTGCGCCGGGATGTGATAGCTGGATAGAATGTGTTCGAGACAGTCCATAGCTGGGTTCCTGTATTCGAGTACCTGATAGCTGAGCCTGAAGATGAAGATGAGGTGGTTGTTGCTGGAATTGTCGATGTATACTGGGATACTGGAGCTGGGGAAGCTCAGGCGGCACTCGCCCAATATGCGCTGTTGCATCTATCGTTGGCGTTGTCTGTGCCGCTAGACTAACGGCCGATGATCCAATGTCATGGTTAGAGGCGGTCCAACCAAGCAAATCCGAAAGTTCTTGGCGGCTTGCAGAGTCCGGGACGGCGTTTGATACAGCTGCTGGGACAGTGTCTCGAAGAACCCGTTCATAGAGATCGACCTTGTGTTTCAAATCCTCGAGCTCTGAGCGCGTGATGCTGACCTTCTCAACAGGCAGAGGATATATGCAGTCGCGTGAAGAGGATTGGCATTGGCGACACGGGTGCTCACCAGAGCATCTGACTCTTCTCACATTGCAAGCGTTGCACCTTTTCAGCGAGACGTGTGTTAGATAAAGACGTGAGCTGCTTTTATGATGATATGATTTAAGTCAGTGACTTGAGGGGCAAACCTCAGTCAAGCTTGACGTCTGCCGAAACGCAGGAATAATTGAGTATAATTGAAGTGAAATTGATACATCGATAGATGGTACATAAAAGAAGATGGACACAAACAAACCCATTGCAGAACATATCGATTGAATAGCTACAGTAGTGTGGTACTGTAGACGGGTAGACACATGGAAACTAATCAACTTACGCTGTAGCGACACGCTTGCGATGCTCGGGAGCAACCTTGTGCCGGCGGGGATTGACAGGAAGCCGTCGCGGATTATGGGAGGCAGAGAGGGAAGCCCGAGGTCGAGCCGATTGTGGTCCAGTTGCATTTGTAGTTGCAGTTGGGCCAGAGTCGTTGGGCTGCTTCATGGCTTAGTCGTTCGTGAGTTTCCGTTTCCAAGAGGAGAACACTCGTCGTTTACTCTCAGAGACTGAGAACCAGTCAGCCCCTGCCTGCTAAGAACCTACCAAGCAAGTGCTAGGATAGTACAGTACCACTTTAGGGGTCGCCGCTCAGAAGAGATTGCATTGGATGTTGATGTCCCCCACCCGAAAGGATTCTCATAATGTTCAACCGTTAGTGCGGAAATTTGGGAGGGAAGCCGGAATCAGTCAATCAATTATGGAGATTTCATATCGCCAAAAAATATATCACCTCGACCTGGATCGCCTCGCTTGCGGCACGGTTCGTTGAACCCTGCAGACTATGTATTTCGACTGTTGCGCTCCGCTCTGCTCTGCTCTGCTCCGCTCTGCCTACGGCAATGGCCCGAGCAACAAGGCCTGCACAGACTCGAACTCTGATTTTAAAGTTCGTTCCATTCACGGCAGCTTTTCCCTGCAAAGAAAGACACTCTCAGACCTGTTGGTTGGCATGCACGCTCCGTGTGTGTGTGTCCGATGTATTATCAACGTGCATGCTGACACATGGTTGATCTCTGTTTGAACAACTCCAACGCTAAGCCGAGGTAGTGCTCCTTAACCTGCATGGAATAAGACAGAACAACGTCGCTTGACAAGGGCTTGCAACCTTGTCAGCTTCATCTCGAGACTCGACCGTTGATTGCTTACACAAGCAAAACTCTTTACCTCCTGCACAGAACTCAATAGGGGAACTCATTGAGTGTCAGTAGCAGTGATGTTGTTGGGCTGTGCCCTCGACGCATTCCTACCATCCATGCTTAGACCTTTTTATGCGTGCTAAAAAACGACGACCCTTGTTGTAAAAGATCTTGGCATATATTCTTTGCAGTTTCTTTACATTACTAGTCTGTCTTGCATCTGTGGGCAACCATAGGACGTAGTAGACCAGAAGGGAAGAGAATCTGTTTCTCAGCAAGTGGGTGTGTAGCCAGATGCTGGGATGACCGGCCCGCCTCTGCATGGCATCTCGACAGCGTGAAACTCTTACAACGGTCTTTCCGAAATATGAAATAATGACTCAACATCAGCGAGTCAATTTGTCAATCTCAAGTGAAAGCATGGGGGGCCTCGGAGCATGTTGTAAGAGGCCCGTTCAAGCACAACCATCCAATGTCATGCGCTTCCATACCGTCCTGATAGCTCTGCCTAAAAGATGACATTGCCGGCCGGGCGATTCCCATCGTTATTGCCAATTGCAGAGGCTCACTCCGTTTGGTGTAGCGGAGATACTACGTTTATCGGTCAATAACAACACTTGGTGCAGTGCGGGCCAAGACTTATGAAGTCATCCCGAGTACTGAATCTCACGGCAACTAGCCCACGAGGGAGTATCACTGGAAATCAGAAACACAAAACGGGCAGTCGATAGACTGGCGTTCGTGGAATGGGCGACATGCAGCTTGATGCCGACTTATATCAGGCCGTGTTAAGCCCATCATATTATGCGCAGTACCCCAAGAAGCGGCCCATAACAGTGCATTGAAAATGTGGCAACTGGAATAAGCTTAAGGAGACATACCAAAAATGGAGAGCTGCGACCTCCTGTCAAGAACAGCCTCGATACTGAGATGTGACAATGGATGCATGGACACAGAGAATGGAAATTGGAGATTGTAAATATTTTTTCAATGTCGTGGTGGGGCTCTAAGAAAATCTACAGAACACCAAAAAGGAAAAACTGAAATCCAACTTTTGTCTCCTAATTCGCAGTATGTACTGAAACGATAATGGCGATAACAAATAACAAATAACAGAGGATATAGTAAATTAAAAAAAAAAAAAATGACTTAAGCGGCAAGACTGCTCTTTTCAGTCCAGTCACCTATTTTCGCTGCCCTTGCAAACCCATTACAAACGTAGGTATCCGTTCATTCGTGCTGTCATAAACATTTATTGCTTGAAAATAGATTCAACAATCTCGCCTGAACGAGTGCCCAGGACGGACAGGAGGGTGTCGCTCAGCTAGAGACGAAGTTAGTGTCTGTCGAACATGATCAATTCACAGTGGATCACTTACCCCGTGAGTACCCTCGCAGCAGCCCTGCAGCCAGACGCCAGAGTCGTCGGCAACAGTGCCAGGGGAGAACTTGACTCTGTAATCCCTTCCAACAGCCAGCTTGCGCTCGCCATCTTGTGTCTCGACGTTCCAGCCATTGACACCCTTGGGGGACTCGTTGCGTCCCGACACGGTCTTGGGGAGCATTGTCCATGCGTCCTTGAGCATGTCGACGTGAGCGCTTCGCTTGTAACCGGTGGCAGCAACGATGAGATCAACTTCAAAAGTCTCCTGGTCGACAAAGCCATCGAGAGGGCCATCGTTCACGCGTTGGACCTTGATCTCGAGAGCGTCACCCTTGGTGTCGACGCTGGCAATCTCACGGCCAGCAAGAATTCTGTGAGGCCACTGTGTCTCATCGTCACTGATCTCACGCTTCTGGTCATACATCTTCTCGAAGAGGTGCTCAATGAGCTCCAGGCGAACAACACCGTAGTTGGTAGCGCGAGCCTCAGTCAAAAGAGTCTCACGGGCCTTGACAGATCGAGGCCACAGGTTGTCAATGTACTCGGGGTTGAAGATGGAGTTGACGCTGTCCGTCATCGTCAGCAGAGGTTCCGGGGGTTCCTATGATGGGCAACTGTGCACAACTTACAATGGAGAGTCATCACTGGGGCGAAGGAACTCCTGGCGCATAATGAGGTATGTTTTGGAGTTCGGGTACAGGTTCTGGACGTTGTTGAAGATCTCGGCGGCACTCTGGCCGGCACCGATAACAGCAACACGGTAAGGAGCGTTCTGCTTAGCTAGGATCTGAGGGGCGTAGTTGGCGAATTGAGAAGAGTGCAGGACACGAGGGTGCTTAGCAGGGAGGCTCTTGGGGAGCGAAGGCTGGCCGCCAGCAGCAACAAGAACGTGACGGCTGCGGAAAGATTGGACCTGGCCAGTCTTGCCATTGCGAGCCTGGACGGTAAAAATCTTGACAGGATCGGCCTCCTTGCTCTCGGGGGAGATAGAGAGAACCTCGTTGTTGTAGCTCACAACGTGGTCAAACCAAGAAGAGCACCAGCGAAGGTAGTCCTCGTATTCAGTACGGGCAGGGAGGAAAGTGCTCAAGTTGGTGAAATCAACGAGACGACCCTGACGGTGGAGGTAGTTAAGGAAAGTAAACTCAGATCGGGGGTTGCGAAGAGTGGCCAGATCCTTGATGAAGGAGATTTGCATCTTGGCTCCAGGGAGCAGCATACCGGCGTGCCAAGCGAACTTGGTCTGCTTCTCCAGGAAAAGAACCTTGGGAGCTGCGCCATCAGAGCGAAGCTTCTTGCCCTCGGCGATGGCATCGTGAATAGCGACGGCTACAGCCAAAGATGCGGGGCCGAAGCCAGCACAGATGAGATCAAACTCAGAATCCGCGGGAGCGGACTCGAGATAAGGAGATCTCTCCTTGTGGACTCGGGGTCCATGGCGAGCAGCAGGGGCAGCTCCGTTTCCGTTGCTGTTTCCGTTGGCATGACCGTTGTGGCCGTTAGTAGTACCGTTGGTGCCATTTGTGCCGTTGTGACCGTTGGTGGTACCGTTGGAGACTGGGGTCTCGGAGCCGTTGAATGAAACCTCGCTGTGGGGTGACATGATGACTGATTGCTGTTGAAGAGGGGTATAGGTCTAAACTTTTAATAGAGTCTTTAAATGCAGGCCAAGTTTTATAGCACAAACTTTGTGTCTATGAGATTTGGCGTATTCAAAGTCGTGACGTGTGAGAAACCGGGAAGAGGTCCACCAAGTCAATGGGAGATTGTGAGGAATAGATCCGGTTCGCAGAAGCTCTTATTCCTTCTCGAGAATGAGGTATTGCCCAATCTGGTCAATATGGTGCACAGATTGGAGAAATGATGCAGATGAGCTTCATATAATGGATAAAAGGTTGAATGAAGCTTCCAATGTCCGGATTGTCGTAGAGGCCAAAGTGGCAATATCAGGGTCTAACTCTGAAGAGATATGTTGAAGAGCTTTAGGTAATACCACCGAGGCTTGGGAGAAGCTTCGTCAATGAAGATAGAAAGAACAGAAGAACGGAGTAGTTCCGAAAGACGGGGGAGATATGGCATTTTGTAGTTCGGACGGAGATGGGATCTACAAGCTATTTCCTCGGTCCCATATTGCGTGCCATATTCTTATTCGGAGTCAAACTAAGCTACAGACCCTCAAAAGAAGCAAGCAAGCAAGAAAGTACAGTAGAGTAGAGTACATACAAGCTCACGGCGAAGCTGCAGTCGAGCGAGGTACACTCCATTACATGACGAGACGCCTGCTGGCGCCGGACACGCCTCATTAGGTACATGGAGGAGGCGGATACGAGTACAAGGAGGTTCTCCATGGCTAATACAACCTCGTCAAGCTCGTACGTACATACTTGGGGAGGTACATTTGCGATGGAGCCATGATACATAAAAACCATCCATGATGGAGACACTACTATACTGAGCCGGGAAGAGCACAGCTAGCTAGCCCACTGGAGACTGGGCTTTTGCTCCCAGTGCCGGTCATCCTGGGCTGGGCTGGGCTGGGCTGGGCCGAGCACGGCGGCCAAGCCAAGACGTGGAGCCGCGGTTACCAAGCAAGCAAAAAGCATAGCGAGCGGCAGAATGGAAGCCGGGTCAGGCCAGAAATTCAACAGAACGTGAATGAGAATGGTGACGGAATCCATTGCTGTTAACGTCAGTCAACGTGACTCTGGTTAGTAGGTAGTGAATGAGACCAGGACTAAGCCCAAGCCTAGGCCCTGTAGAGGGTGGGATCGGGAAATGGTGGGGGGTGGGCTAAATGCCCTGCTGTCGAGAAAGCACCAACCTTTTCGAGCTTTAGCTCGGAGGGGTCCTGTAAGCCATTTTGGGCTTCTATTTTTTTATTTTTTTTTTATTTTTTCTTTATTTTCGTGAGTGTTTCAGTTTCTCTGTTGAAGCTTTGCCTCTGTTGGACTTCGTGAATTGGGAGAGCGAGCATAGCACTCATATACCAAACCTGCGATATTCTCATCGTAACTCTCAGGACTCATGTTGACCTCGATCAGCTGAAGCAGCGATCACCATGAGAGCGTTCCAAAGACATAGGCACAGCATGGTTACAGGATTGCCTCATGCAGACCCCGTCTGGGTTGGGTTCTAATGGTTGTGTCAAAACTTCAAAGGCTCTGTCAGCCGCTGCAGGATGGACGACACGATGTAATAGGACGACAGGCTAGGCCAGTCATCGGACTGCAAGGGATGGAAAATGGATGGAAAATGTCGCGCAGTCAATGGCTTTGCGGCCGAATCCTCCACGTCCATGGCCGTGGCGTGCCTCGTGGACCCTCCTCGTGGGACTTCATCAACGCCGTGAAGTTCCGTAGCGCATGAGTGAGCTTCGAGGCGCCGCTGCCCACTCATCATCTCCGAGCAGTATCACATTGGCTTGCGGGTCTAAAGAGAACTCCCCAACTAGCCAACCCGTCGCAAGCCCCCAGCGTGGAGGGACCCTCCAGGGATGCGTGGCGGCGTGGGTTGAGTCCGGCACTCGAGGTTGAATGAGGAAACGATGAGCATCAAATGGGCAGAGGAAAAGGCCATGAGCAAGGGTCGAAGCATGTTAACCGGATACCCATACTCGTGGGTGAAGCTCAAGCAAAGTTTGTTTTTAGTTTATTGACGAGCGATGATGATCAGTCTTGGAACCTTCCTATATGGACGAATGCTGTAAAAGCTTAGGCCTTTCGCGAATGGCGATCGATGTATGTTGACATCTTTAAATCGAGTCTGTGATATGTATGCCAAATTCCTCGGCTTGAGAGGTCCCCTAGTTGGACCTTATCCAGAGTCTGCGGACTCGAACTACTCTTTGACCCATGTTCTCCTCCAAACCTCCGACTTCTACAGTCTTCTACCCGGTGTTTTTCTTCAGCTTCATCTGTACAGGCGGGGTGTTTATGGCCACTTGCGTCTCAAGGCGGTGGCAGGAGGAAGTGGAGGTTCCTGAATTACGAGCAAACTAACCAAGGATCCCCAGTAAAGAAGCGTAAGTATGGACGAATATGATGCGACGTCGGCGATGATCTTTGGTAAAAGATCAGATAAGATAGACATGGCAAAACAGCGACCAAGCTTGGCGAACTCTGCAAAGGTTGACGCCGCTGAGCAAGGATCAGACGGCCTTACTACTGGAAATATGCTTGCCATCCCAGCTGGCGTCACAAAAGGTTGAAGCAGCCGCAGTTCAAAGTCCAGTCCGTTGCTTGCTAACTGGGCCGATGCAGACCCTTGAAGACGCTACGCATTTTTGTTCCGTGGGATCGAGGCATGGGTTCGAAACGTCCAGTCTCGCCTGGGCCGATGACGGCTTTCTGCAGCCCCCATCGCCCAAGCTCTTTCACACCGTTCAGACACGACGTTAATCCCATGGGTTGGGGCAGAGAAAAACTTGACCAGCACAGGCACAGGAACGCACAGAGTGCGGCGAAGAACGGCTTTGGTTTGACGGCGTCCACGCCAGAAGAGCCGATCACTCGAGCCTCGCAATGTCGTTCGACGACAGGGAGGGGCAGTCCCGCAGAGAAGGTGGAAGGTGGATGGCAAAACGCTGATGATTGGAGTGTTGATGGGCGGCGAATACCTTGGGCTCCATTGTGGAGATGAGGGAATTATCTGATGATCTGATAAACCGGATCTGATAAGATCTAATTAGCCAGCTTACAGTAGCGTCGCGCACCAAGCTCGAGTTGACTGGTTACCGACCTCTGAGCGGCCCAGGGGTCTTTTAGCACCAGATGGCCCCTGGTGCTTGTGCTCGCAACCTAACCCCTGTAACAATTATGCTGTGTTTTTCTTCTTGGGGACAGGTACCGACCGAATGAGCACCAGCAAGCGGAGAGCAATTGTGAATGGGAGAAAAATTTTCTTCTCTGGTGAACAGAAGCTTATCCCTGTTGGATCAAGGCACAAGCTTCTTGACCTATAAGCGCAAGCACTTGGCGTTGAACCTCCATCCATTGATGAGCTGTCTAGAGCTGCATTTGCCTAACAGGGTCTACGCTTTTGGGGGATAATCGGGCTAGCGGGTAATAATTTTGCAGAGGTCCATCGATTGACTGATTGATTAGATGCAAATGCGCCGGAGAAGGCTTCTCAGACCGATAACGGTGCTTTCCGATATAGTCCATACAGCTGGGATACGCCGGCATCGATGTTGCAATGACAGAAATCATGGAGAGCAGATATGCAGCCATGGGACGACACGACTCTGGGAATACCCGTAGTATGGCTCGATATGATCGGCAAAACCGTAAGATGATGCCAACTGCGGGTGACGATGTTGCTTTTTCTTCGACCTCTTGGACCCTTGTTTTCGTGATACGTTTCCGTGCTGTGATCTAGAACACCAAGCCAACGCTCCGGCAGTACCTAGTCTGACGGTTGGTTCGCACATCAAAGGATCTCGTACCCGTTTGCGATCCCGTGTCCGAGGGTCCAAGTAGTACCTACAGTAGCCTCCCTCATGTCGTCAAATTATCCCAGCAATCGTCAGTAGAAACCCATGCCATAACCAGACACCTTAAGCGCCTCTGTCACCATGCACGTGGGAGGCAAAGCTTCTTCATGAGAAAAAGCAGAAATTTTCGGGCAAAAGCACTATTCAGCACAGTAAGAGAAGCCGCTTTGCCTTGCCGAGATCAGACTATAGCGATACTATGACAATGCATACTCTAGCTGGAATTTGAACATGGGAATGAATGCACATGAAGCATACGAGGTTCGGTCAAATTCGAATGTTGACTTTGCACAATGAGCGTGTTGAGTTTGCAGGTTTGGTTGACACCATACCTCGTCTTAGCCACCCCTGGACTTGGTCAGGAGCATTACACCTACGTCACAGCTGTTCGAAAAGTTTTTGCCGGCTACCAATGTTTATTAAGGGGGGCTTTTCAACTTCCAGGTCGTGGTCAGGTAGTTTAAAAGATCTTCCAGTTGACGAAATATATTAATAGGACGTTCTTGACTTCCTGGATTACAATCTAAAAACACATATCAATTGGGCGGGCAGGAGTACTGTTTTCTTGCAAGGTATCCGTGAATCCTGGAATAGACCGGAAGTTTTCGAAGCGAGCGACGTTGACCATGTAAGATTACTAGGTACATGGGAGGCCAGGGAAGAGTACATCATTTTCATTTACGTGTACATTAGATTATCTGATTAGATCCGGGATCAAAAGATCGGCGAGCTTTCAGCACTTAATACTTCGTAAACGAAAGCAAGCTGTAGGTGTCGAGGCACTTGGAATTTCTCGATATGCAGTCACATAACAGAGAAAACAGCAACTACATCGTCTCACTCAGAATAAGAATATTTGAACACCAGAGCAGAATTGACGTTGAGATCTGATCTTTGAGAATCTTCATTCAGGGTAGTAAGCTCTGGCCTCCACTTGGATGAATGATGAATGCATTGTCCAATTCGGACGAGCAGTAGTGGTTGGTCATAGCCCACACCCTCCCTTCCATTTCTCCACCTGCACCTTGCATCATCAAACGCCAGGGTCAGAAAATCCACCATCATCACCGCCGTCCGCTTCATCGGGCATCGCATCATCACCCTCAACATTGCCCATTTGCTTCATTAAAGCCGCAACGGGATCAATCACTCCGCCCGTGGCGATTCTGACTCGGCAGCAAGCCTGTCGTTCGTGCTGTGCTCTCGGAGGTAGCCGTCAACCTGCCTGTCACAATCACAGGCAACAATCTGGAAGGTGATATTAACCTGACGGGCCTGGCATTTCTCCATAATCTCGGCTCGGTGTCCGCACTGCTCCTTTCCGCTTTATTCGTTTCAGCGTTGCTCTTCTCCCAGCCCAGTATCCCTTCGGGAATCCGAGCCTGCGCCGACCGAATATGCGTTTTCCCTCCAGTCGGTTTGGGGTTTGCCCTCATGGAGTGCCTCTTTTCCTGCTTCCTATTCCAACTTCGCTCACCTCTGCTTCGTCTGAGCCAGAGGCACAGCTGTTTCCACCTAGTTGTCCCGATCTTTAACCCGTCGCTTCCTCTTACCAGTTGTCACAGCATTTCTCTCATCCAATGCCCTGCGTGGCACATTCACGCTGTGTTGATGGTGTTATCATCTTCACCAACCCAGCATCCATCTCGTAGACAAGGTAAATGACATACATCGTTCTCTTAATCCCGATCAATGCACATGCCATGCCCCTCAAAACCCCTCTCGCTTGCTCTACTCCTCCTCCCACACCGGGAAACATCACTATCTCTGGAAACCTCCCGCGTTGACTAATATCGTTTCACCATCATGGTGTTTTGATCAATGTCATCCCACGTGTTTAACCCTCTCCCGCCATTACCCTTGGGTATTGGAAATGCCCTCCACTTACTTGCTTCGATCCTGCCTGATCTCATCACCCTGTGACTCAACCTGCATGAGTCTACTTCGTCACCATGGGGTTTACAAGATTCGTTGTGGGCGATAGCTTACCGGAAGACGGATACCTGAACTAGCAAGCGTTCAAGCTCCCATGCCATTTATCCAGACGAGTCTATTCTATGACTTAGACAACGCGTCTAGACACTGGTTAGTAGGGTCGAAAGTCACTTATCAAGTTGTGGCTCCCCTTTTATCGCGGGTCGACCCGTCGAGGATCCCTTGTCTGCATAACCAAAAGCAACTCCGATATCGACCCTCAACCCTCAACCCGCATGCCGTCTTTCGGGTTGCTCTTGTCAGCCACAACCTCTACGTTATGCCTAGCTTCGAGAATTCCTCTAGTGCAGTGTCTCACATGCAGCAATTTGTTTTACCTTATAACCGCCATAAGCCTTCACGTAATCATTTGCTAGGCACCCTGGGACCGTTGAACCTTACATCGAGCCTCCTCAGGTGCCAAGAGAAATTAGCCTTTCCTTTTGGGGGCTGGCTTGCCGATCTGATTCGCAGTTATGATCAATCGAGTTACCCAATATGGATCAATGGATTTTGTAATCCATAATGCCCATGAGAATTGTCCCTTGGCAGAAGATTCATCGTCGCTTGAAGTTACATACAAGACTGTGCTCTTGTTGAACCAAGAGCTTAAGCAGGTCTATTGTTGGTGTTCAAGTGAACTTTGTCGTCACGATAACAATACCAAGTTCACATAAACCGAGTCGTGACGCAATCTATTCTGAGCGGCTGCTCGCTCCACTGCTCATTTGACGCCGAAACTCGGGCATCCTGTGAGACATCACGCCGTTTGAATAAAAGCACCACTATCCCACGCACATGCGCCATATCCTGGTGCGGGTTTGGCATAAGACCAACGAGGTTGTCTTGCTCCCCACGCCAGCCACGGCCAGAGGTCCACCATAGATGTGCCCAAAACGGCAATCCAGGTATCTCGGCTCACACCATTGCACTTCAACCCTGACTGCAACACATCATTCATCATGGGTCGCGGTTTTAATCTGCCTGGGGGCATGTCTTGCCAGCCCACCCTTTCAAATAATAGCTGTCTACTACCCACCCACCGACAGCACTCACAGCCGGATCTTACTTGTCCCTGTCATCTTCATGAGCCGCTGAGTAATTACTCGACGCTGACAGGCTGGAATACAACTGCTTCCACACGCCCCCCTTGAACCAGGTGAACCACTTTGTACGACCGTCCACGCCTTGAGCTTGCCTTTGACGAATCATTGCGCCGCCGATTCTAAGACGGCATGCGTCCGTTTGCTTTGCCGTCGTTCCAATTCGCAGCTCCCGTGTTTTGGACCCCGGCTGGCGTGTACATCCTCCGAGACTTGGTTCCGCATGGTCGTGAAGCGATCAAAGCAGCCTGATGTTAGTCCACACAGTTTTAGCTAATAGCATGTTGGCCTGTAATTAATGCCCCAGGGTGAGGCTTTTGGCTGACCAGTGCGTTCCCTAAAAGGGCCATATCTTCTACTCCGAGTGCACACCTTCAACGTCACCGGTATTGTCGTCGGCTCTGATTGTTACCGGCGCCGTTTGCCCATCGAGACTACCCTCCTCATTATCACTATCTATTACCCTGATTGCTCGGCATCGCCGTTGTTCTGACTAACACACTCTCAGACCACCAAACCACCAGAGGTGTAACTGGAGCACTATGGACTTGACAGGACTGTCTATCCTTAATGCTCGGCCATCCAGGCTGCCTGGACCAAACCTCCTACACCATCTGGTGAAGGGGCCGGGCCAACACGTAGCCCTGGATTATATGAGCAACGGTCGGCAATCTACATTGACCTACAACGAGCTTCATGAAGCCGCAGCGTCCATTGCGACTCGCATAACAACAGCATCAGGCAACGTCACTGGACAGTTTGTTGTTCCTGTGCTCATCCACCAATCCTCTCTTCTATACATTTCACTCTTGGCCATCTTAAAGTCCGGAGGGGCTTTCTGTCCTCTCAATATTGATGCGCCGCCTGAACGCGTAAAATTCATTCTTGACGATGTCGCAGCAACAGTGGTTTTGACCACGAAAGAACTGGCATCTGAAATACCCTACGATACCAGTGCAACTATAATCATCGTTGATGAGAATGAAGAATCTCAAAGCCCTTCTCGATCTCCAAGAGTCGAGTTCAAACATAGAGTCCCCCAGCCAGATGATCTAGCCTATGTCATGTATACATCAGGATCAACAGGAACTCCCAAAGGCGTGGGAATTTCGCACGATGCTGCAACGCAAGCTCTTATTGCCCACGATAGACATATTCCACCATTCTCCCGCTTTCTGCAGTTTGCAGCGCCGACATTTGATGTCTCGGTCTTTGAAATATTCTTCCCATTCTTTCGAGGTGCTACTCTAGTGAGTATTCGGCGGGCTGAGATGTTAGACGACCTTCCTGGCATGCTACGCGCTATGAGAGTGGATGCCTGTGAACTCACACCAACAGTTGCTGGAAGCCTGTTGCGCCGAAGAGAAAATGCGCCAGACCTTAAGTTGCTTTTGACAATTGGAGAAATGCTCAACGCCCCAGTAGTTGAGGAATTTGGAGGGGACAATGAAAGGCCGAGCATGCTCTGGGCAATGTATGGTCCAACTGAAGCCACAATCCACTGGTAAGATTCCTGACTACTTCTTAGTAAACATCTAACTCTAACAAAATGTTAGTACTCTTCAAACTGCATTCTCGTCTGATTCCTCCACGGGCAATATTGGCGTACCCCTTGATACAGTATCGTGCTTCATTATCGAGATTCCAGAGTCAGATAGCCACGAGTTTGAAGTTAAAATTCTTCCCCAAGGAGAGGTTGGAGAGTTGGCTGTGGGTGGCTACCAGTTAGCCGCTGGCTACATCAATAGACGGGAGCAAACAAATTCAGTCTTCCTTGATTCACCGTTTGGGCGCATTTATCGTACGGGGGACAAAGCGCGTTTACTTCCAAATGGAAAACTTGAATGCTTCGGTCGATTATCAGATGGTCAAGTGAAGCTCAGGGGACAACGTTTGGAGTTGGGGGAAGTAGAGCAGGCCGTCCTTCGAACCTCAGGATGTCACAGCACCGTGGCAGCGATAGTACAATCTATCCTGATAGTGTTCTGTGCCGTCGACGAAGGAGTGACAGAATTTGCTATTTTGAAGCATTGCAAAGACTGGCTACCGCAGTACATGGTTCCTGGAGAAGTTGTCTTGATGACAGAATTTCCAAGATTACCCAGTGGCAAGGTTGATCGGAAGAGGCTTAAAGCAGAGTACGAACAACGCAAAGCTGACATGTCAGAGAGCATCTTGGACTCCGCGCCGGTCGACACAATGGAATCAGAGCTTCTGGCAGTTGTGTCTCAGAGTTTGAATTTCAAAGTCGATAAGTCGACGTCTCTCGCCTTGGTTGGAATGGATTCCCTCAAAGCAATCAAGTTAGCCTCTGCTCTTCGGGCTTCTGGGTTTGGGATAGACTCAACTGCTCTTATCACAATGAAAACCACGTCTGAAATTATTTCTGCTATCCGAAGGCAGTCGCAACGCGATATAGACAATCCCCAACAACCGTCAACAGATCTTTCATTGGACTTTGAGGATATTGTACGACAAGACGCCAACTTGGCTCAAATTCGTGGCTCAGTCGAGGGCGTCATACCATGCACGCCTCTTCAAGCAGCTATGCTGGCCGAGACTGCACGGAACCCAACAACTTATTGCAACGAGCTTGAGCTTAGTATTCCACTAGGTCATGGCATCGATCGTATATCGGAGACCTTCAGAGAACTTTCACAGCAGAATGCAATTCTGCGTGCGGGGTTTGCAGCTGCAAAGGGCAACTTCGTTATGATTTTCCAGCGGGAACTCCGACCCGAACAGATCTGCGTTGTCGACCAGCTTCAGAAACAACTGTGCCTCTCCTCAACACAAGACTTTATATCTCCCTTGATACTCCAGATCCAGCGAAGTCCAGTAGAGGATAGGGTCCATGTTCTCTTGCAACTGCATCATTCTCTATATGATGGATGGTCCATGGATATTCTTCTTTCTGATTGGTCCAAACTACTCCTGCGACAACAAGTATCTCAGCATCCTTCATTCAAGGAAGTTGTCAGAATTTATCATGACATGCAAACAGGCGATGCCACCCGAGTATTCTGGACGGAACATCTCGCAGGATGGAAACGATCGCCATTGCCCAAGCTACACAGTAAGGTGATGTGCTCAAACCGAAGCCTATCAATCAGGAGGCGATTATCCCTGTCTCGAAGTAGGGTTGATACAGAAATGCAGAGGCTTGGCTGCAGCCCCCAAGTGATATTCCAGGCCTCACTAGCTCTGCTGTGGTCAGGGATCACAGGAATACGTGATATCACGATTGGCTCGGTAACTTCTGGGAGGACGATTCCTTTAGCAGGCATTGAGCAAGTGATTGGGCCATGCATTGCCTCCCTCCCTGTTCGAGTCGATCTAGACAACGTATCAGTATGTCT